GACCTATACCTGGACCTATACCTGGACCTATATCTGGACCTGGACCTGGACCTATACCTGGACCTGGACCTATATCTGGACCTGGACCTATATCTGGTTCTGGAACTATATCTGGTCCTGGACCTATACCTGGACCTGGACCTATACCTGGACCTGGTCCTATACCTGGACCTATATCTGGACCTGGACCTATACCTGGACCTGGACCTATACCTGGACCTGGACCTATACCTGGACCTATATCTGGACCTGGACCTATACCTGGACCTGGACCTATACCTGGACCTGGACCTATACCTGGACCTACCATTCTGTGCTCGTCTGTCTCTCCTTCCTGTCCTCTCAACCAGCCGGTCAAAGCAGATGGTCTCTTGTCCTGAGCTGGTTCTGCTGGAGGTTTCTTCCTGTTAAAGGGAGTTTTTCTTTCCACTGTCTCCACTGTGCTTGCTCAGGATGGGAGACTGCAACGAAGCCAAGATTCAACTTGTCTGCTGGATTCCTTGGATAGAGAACTTTACTAACTGGATTTTATGTGAATGTTCCTGTAAAGTCCCTGAGACAACTTGGTTGTGAACTGGCGCTTTATAAATAAACTGAATTGAATTGAATTGAAAACACTTGTTTTAGTGAATGCACGTCGCCCTCTGCCGTCCACCAGGGTCATGTGACAAATCATCACGTTTAGCTGCTTTAAAATACAGAGCACTCTCAGCTACTACCACCTCAGAGTTAAGCCCAATACTTGACTGTGAAAAGGCTGTGGCGGCCATCTTGAATGGACACCAAACGTTAATCAGTTTTCGATGTTCATCCAGGTATAATTTTCTGAAGGTTTCCTTGAATCTCTCCACTGGTTCATGAAATGTTTTGCTAACAATTGGACAAACAAACACAATGGCCCACCTTTCAGCTCATGGCAGGAAGTGATCAAACCAGATCCAACAGAACCAACAAACGGACTCTAACACAGTGAAAGCATCATAGAGAGTGTAAAACTGGATTGTGGATTATTTTCTACACTTCATCAAACTCCTCATCTTCATCGCTCAGCTGTATTGTGAAGTTAAAGACACTTTTAGAACTGATCAATAATCAGATCGATCCTGTCCTGAACCTCACACTGGCTCCCTGATGTCAGCTGCGGAGCGTTAATCTGCCTGTGAGGCTCAGATTAACGCTCCATCCTTCTGTTTTTATTCGAACAATGGAGGAGGTGGGTAACCATGGCAACGCGCCTTTATTTCTGTTTTATTTCTGTCTTGGTTAAAAAAAGAAGCCGTTTTTGTGGTAAAGGCTTCAGTGCTGAACAGTGGACTGAAGGCCTGACATGAACTGAAGGAATGCTTGTCACCCGCCACACCCTGATCCCGTTTTACACTAAAACTCTCTCATGAGAAATATGTGAATTTTGACTGTTTTAACCTTAAATCATATCATTATCACACGACTCTCAGCTACTACCATACCAGACTTTAGTCCAGTATCTGTAAAACAGGCTGAGTTGAAGATATTTCCACGTTTCCAAAGGTCAGTCTGCTGTGGCGGCCATATTGAAAGGAGTTCTCTCCAAACGTTTGGCACATAATCTGATTTTATTCTGAAAATTGTATTAAAATTTATTCACTGGTTCAAGAAAACTTTATCTACTAAAAGTGAAACGGTAAACAAATGACAGAAATCCAAGTTTGAACCAAATCCATGAGTGTCCAGAGGAGCGTGAGGATCTGAGAGAGCAAGAAACCAGGAGCTTTAATCTGCTAAGAAGAGTCGATGAGTGAATGAGTGCAGCTGAGAATGAGCGTTGAGTGACAAGACAAACAGGGACACCCAAGAAAAAGTAGACTGGGAACAAGGAAACCAGACCTAAAACTGGCTGACTGCTAAAAACAGAAAACAGACAGAAATGACCAGAACCCAACATCCAAACCAAGAACTGAAGGAAGTCCAGATAAAATCAGCAAAACACCAGAGAAAGCCCAAAGATGCAACAACCGCACCATGTTTTAGGGTACCAACACCTTTATCCTGCATCTCCTCCTTGGTAAATGCTTTTGGTTCGTGGTTTCCGACACATGACCTCCACCTGGTGTCTTCAGGGACTCATGCTTCACATTCAGGCACTATGAGCCTCTGAAGAACAAGAAGTGTTGGTCAAGTGTCATGAACTATCACCCAACAATGAGACAAATGTTCTCATAAACATGGCACCATTTCTATCAGTGTTGTCATCCACACAGAAACACTCACAACAGCCCACATCATGATGCTGCCTCCACCATGCTTCACAGTATGCACGGCGTGTTCAGGGTGAAAGGTGAGGTGTCCGTGTGGTCTGATCTGTGTAGAGCAGCTTTTTCCACATTTAGGTGGACATCCATGTCTGAGGAGGTCTCTAGTTGCATCAGCCATTCACAGGAGATGGATTTATCAGAGATCTGTGAGACGATTAAAGCTCTGGATGTTGTTTTATAACGTTTCTTCACTGTGCACTTAAACCTGAATGACAAGCTCAGCTGGGGTAACACTACCAGCCGGATCAAGTCAAGGTTCTTTATTGTCATTCTCATCACATGTGGTACATGTGGTGGAACAAAACTGTGCACACAGGGTCCCAATTACATCCAACAAAAGTACAAATTGTAAAGAAAAACAGTGATAAGATCTAAGACATGAACTAAGAAATACACTAAACTCTAGTAGTACAAAAACAATGCACCGAACAACAGCAGCACAAACATGAGTCTGTGTGAGCAGATGAAGATAATGAACATAGCAGCATAAAATAAATCAGCAGCATGAGATCAGCAGCATGGATAATCAGCAGCACATATCAGCAATCTAGTGGCATTACAGTGATTATCCTGGTTAGAGATTCATGAGTCTAATGTTGTTGTCCTCCTGTAACTGCAACAATTCAATTCTTTTTTCAAATAGGAAGTTGGTCCCAGCAGTTCTTCCTCTGATTTTATCCTCAAATGGTGTCCCCATTGAGTTTGTTGATTCTTATAAATATTTGGGTATCTTGGTCGACTCACATCTCTCTTTTAAGCTCCATGTGGAAAACTTGGTAAAGAAACTGAAAATTAAACTGGGTTTCTTTTTCAGAAACAGATCCTGTCTAACTCTGAACCCTGAGGAACACCTTGTATCTGTGACTTTCCTTCCCTCCATTGATTACGGTGACATTATTTACATGAACGCTCCTACAAGAACCCTGCAGATGTTGGATGCTGCAGATGTTGGATGCTGCAGATGTTGGATGCTGTCTATCATGGTGCACTAAGATTCATAACTGACTGTAACTATCGTACCCACCACTGCACCCAGTATTCACTGGTTAACTGGTCACCATTAACTCCACACAGACTCTCCCACTGGTACATGTTCATCTTTAAATCACTTCCTGGTCTGCTGCCTTCATACATCTCCTCCTACATGTCTCTGTGTGAGTGCAGCTACAGCGTGCGCTCTCAGGACATCATTACCTGCAGTGTTCCCTCAGTGAGGACTGAACTAGACAAAAGGACCTTCTCCTACTCCGCTCCTGTTTCCTGGAACATCTTGTAAAAAGACCTGAAGCTCTCGACCTTTGACCTCTCTAAGTGGCTTCAAACATTTGTTAAGTTCCTGGTGAAGACCAACGTGTTCCTGTTATTAGTTTTCTACATCACCTCATAATCTAGCTGTTTTTTTGTTACATTTTCTTTTGAATACCATCTTATTTTCATTTGTTAAAAAAAACTCAACTTGTGTGTCTCTATTATGATCATCCACTGTCGTCATCACTCTGTTAAAACCAGGTCTCTCTTTAAATGAGTCCCCGAGGCTCAGTGGGACTAACCTGTAGAAATAAAGGTTGAATGAATTCATCCCGAGCTTGGTTTAGCTGAGTTTAAAAGCTGTACGTACCGTTCCTGGTGAGGATAACGGCGATGTACTGCTGACTGAAGGTGCTGATGGTCATCAGCATGGCTGGCTTCTGGCTGGTGACGAAGCTGAAGGCCATGTCCTCTCTCGCCCTGCTGTCTGTGGAAATGCTGGCGGCGTGAGAGCTCCTGTTCTGCATGACCGAGAAGGGCTCCTGGAAGGTGTAAGTCACAGAGGACTCTCTGTCGAAGGACACCGACACCTCTGCAGGGACACACAGGGACATCAGAAGGTAAGTTGCTTTATTAGTGAAAATACTTTAAACAAATGTTGAACCTAAGAATGATCAAAGAGGTTCTTTCTCAGACAAGCAGCTTCGTGAACACAAAGCTCACAAAGACTTGTAAAAATATTCCACAACCTTCCTAAAAACAGACTAAATTAGTGTCCATCTCACAGAAGCTGGTATCCAAACATACTGCAGCTCTTCAAGTGTCGTCACTTGGGGAATCTGGGTCCCTGTGGGGCCATGAATCCGTCTTCATGTTCCTCGTGCCGTGCTTTTTCCTGAGTCCTACAAACAACTTTGATGTGTAAAAATAAAGAGCAGAGCAGGGAGACTGAGCCGGCACCGGATTCATCTCATGTTAATGATGTGGAGAAAACCTTCTGCACGTTTCCACACAATATACACATTATTATTTTTATTATTATAAAGTTTATTCTTTTTTTTTTAAATAAAATAATTCTATATACAAAAAGAAATACATTCAAAAAATGTTCAACACAAAAACAACTGGACTTTATTTGTAACAGAATTGCTGATATTTTCATTCTGTTTTTTGAATTGATCATGTCCTGGATGACTGAGAAGCTTCACCAGCAAGAACAAATACAATCACCGAAATAAAATGAAAGGCAGCAGAAAGAAGAAAAAAAATATTATATCTGCCCCTTTTATCCCAAGAAATTAATTCTAACAATAATAATCTTCAAAAAACAAAACAAAATGAATAACTCTTTCTAATTTTTCTAATTCTAATACAAAACACACACTAAGCTACTTCATATATACTTTTTTAACAATCTAGATTTGATCTTTTTCTTAAATGTTCACATTGACTTGTCATTTTTCACATCACTCTCTAGAACATTCCACAATCCAACTCCTTGGATTGAGGTAGACCTTCCCTTCAGACTAGTTCTGAATTTTGGTTTGACAAATATCTCTATCCCCTTAAGATTATAACAACTTTGTCTTTTAACAACATTTCTTTGGATATTTGTATGTATGTATGTATGTTTTATTTATTCATTTCATTTCATCCAAACAACAAATATAATACAATTTAAAGAAAAGAAAAAAGATATACAATCACCGAAATAAAATGAAAGGCAGCAGAAGAAGAATGAGTTCTTATAAAATCTGCCCCTTGTCCCCAAAATATATTCCAAACAAAATTACTATACAAAAGCAAGATGAATTAATAAAAAAATAAATAAATAAATAAAATAAAAACTTAGCTAAAATATAAGATCAACTGTAAACAATTTTTATGAACTCACATTATACTTAATATTTAAAAAAAACACATTTTTATCATCCTCTTGAATATGTACATAGTTTTGGCTTTTTTAATTTCAACCTCCAGATCATTCCACAATCTAATACCCTGAGATCTAGTGGATCACATCTTCAGACTGGTGCGACACCACGGCTTCACAAACATCTCCATCCCCTTAAGATAATAATTACTTTCTCTTTTAACAAATTTCCCTTGAATGTTAGTAGGTAGTATGTTTTTGTTGGCCCCATACATAAACAGTAAGATATTGTAATCAACCAAGTCATACAATTTTAATATCTTTAGCTGATGAAACAATATATTTGACGGATGGTTATAATCTTTTCTGGTAATAATTCTTATGGCTCTTTTCTGTAAAATAAAAATAGGATTTGTAATTGTTTTACATGCTTTACCCCAGACTTCAATACAGTAAATTAAATGTGGAACAATAATGGCATTATACAATAGAAACATTGCTTTATCATTGAATAACTCTCGAACTTTGTACATTACTGCAATCGATTTAGTTATTTTAGTTCTTAAGTTTTTTACGTGAGATCTCCATGTTAGTTTTTCATCAATGATGACACCCAGAAATTTCACCTCATTGACTCTATTAATTTCAATTCCATCGACTCTAAATGGAGTATCAAGCACTTTCTTGTTGTTACTAAAAATCATATAATTTGTTTTATCAACATTTAAAGATTATTTGTTTAGTTGAAACCAATTTTGTATTTTCACAAATTCTGTTTGTGCCATCTTCAACATTTGCACAATTAATGGTAATGTGTTATTTTGAGCCCTATACATAACTGATAAAATACTATAATCTACCAAATCATGGAACTTCAATAAGTTCAGTTGATAAAATAATGTGCTTGATGGGTGACTGTAATGCTTTCTGGTGATAATTCTTACAGCTCTTTTCTGTAAAATAAAAATAGGTTTTGTAAATGTTTTACATGCTTTCCCCCAAACATCAATGCAATAGATTAAATGTGGAACAATGATTGTGTTATACAACATGTACAGAGCTTTATCATTTAATAATTCCCTGACTTTGTATAGTACTGCAATAGATTTAGATATTTTTGTTCTTACAGAATTGATGTGATTTTTCCATGTTAGCTGTTCATCAATGATTACACCCAAAAATTTCATCTCATTAACTCTACAAATCTCAACACCCTCAATTTTAAATGGATCATCAACAGTTCTCTTTTTGTTACTGACTATCATATAGTTAGTTTTATCCAAGTTTAATGATAATTTATTAAGTTTAAACCAAGTTTGTATTTTTATTAATTCTGTCTTCATCAACTCCAACACCTGTTTTATATCTTTACCCAAACAAAAAAATGTGGTGTCATCTGCAAATAGGACACATTTAAGGAGTCCGGACACATTTACCAAGTCATTCACATATAAAAAAATAACTTTTGTCTCAGTACAGAGCCTTGAGGAACTCCACAAGTGATATTACAGAGGTCAGATTTTGCATCATTTATTTGTACAAACTGTTTCCTATCTTTCAAATAGCTAGACACCCAGTGTAATGCTGGTCCTCTAATGCCATATGTATTACATTTTTCAAGGAGAATAGTGTGGTCAATAGTATCGAATGCTTTTTTTAAATCAACAAAAATACTAACACAATACTATTTTAGAATGACAACAGTTTTTATTTGTTCTATCAATTCCATGAGAGCCACTGATGTAAAGTGTTTTTGCTCTAAACCCATACTGACTGCTACTTAGAATGTTTTGATTAGCAATAAATTGATCCAGTCTGGTCACAAATAATTTTTCTAAGATTATGAGTGGAGTGTGCAGGAACCTTAAAGTTCTGCAGCTCTCAGGACTGGGACCACTTAAGGTGAGATGAGAGCACTGAACACAGAAAATATATTTGTAACAACAGTTTGGTTGATATAGACAGTTTTTGAGCCATATGTGGCCAGCTCTTTGCCACATTTTGATGTTGTTGGTCGAACCAGCGACCTTCTGATATCAGGCCCACCTTCTCTAACCTCTGCACTACCACTCCTCCTGGAGAGACTGGGACTCCCCACATACTGCTTTAATAATAAAATAGTGTTTTAGTTTTTGACATTTTTAAATGGACCCATTCATGTCTGGATCACAATGCTCAGGAAAATATATTCCAGCTCAAGTTTCTATATGTCAGTCCTTCTCAAATAGTGGAGTGCGCCCCCCTGGGGGCCCGGAGCAGGGGGGCGGGGGGGCATGTGACCCCGAGGAACATTTTGTGGCAGGGAGTTTTTTTTTTCTTTTTTCGCACCATTCTCATTTTGTCAGGGTGCGTTCGGCAACTGTTTGCTAAACTCCGGCAGCTCTCAGTGTGACTAACAATAAAGTGATGAAGAAACGTGTCTGTCTTGTTGTTTGAGGAGCCATGATTGAACCGTGTCGCTCCCTCTGCTGCTGCTGAGCAGCTGCTGACGCTCGTCACCCGCAGCACGCGTTACTTACCTGCCCCACTTTACCTTTAACCTTTTTTTGGTTTGTCAAAGCACAATTTTGATGTTTTTTTAATACAGAAGTAAAGATAATAAATGTTAGGACTCTATTCTTCGCTAACAAAAGATACTTTATGTCATTAAACAGTCAGGTTCTTCTCTTGTGAGCGCGTTCCCCTGGACACACACACACACACACACACACACACACACACTAGCCCACTCGCTCTTGCACTCTTTGCAACTTCTCTGGTGCTCTGAGACCAGGTCCAGGTCCAGGTCCAAGTCCAGGTCCAGGTCCAGGTCCAGCTAAACAATGAGCAGGAGCTGAGAGCGCAGGCTCATGTTTCAAACTTCAAACAGCCGTGCACTGCAAAACGTGCTCATTGTAGCCATTAATCCTGACTTCCTCATTTTGATAAAAAAAAAAAAATCAGCACAAATTGTTTTATTCATTTTTGTTTTGTAGGTCAAAGTGTTGTATATAACACTCCTGACTTAAAATGTTTGAGCTCAATTTGAAGTTATTATTATTTATTGATTGTATTTAATTTGATTTTTCAGTATCAAATGGTCAAAAATGTTTACAGTTTAAATAAGGATTTTTTTTTTCAGGCAAATTGATGCAATTTAAGTCTTTTCTGTTACAGACTATAAAACAATGTTAAAAATCTTTGTTGTAAGATGATCTATTTTTTTAATTTAATGTTAATAAGGATACAATGTTATGTAGAGGTGTACTTATAACAATTTTATAGACAAATTATACTATTTACAGTCACAGCGGAGGGTTGGGGGGGCGCAAAATGTTTACTTCTTCCTGGGGGGGCGTAACCGAAAATAATTGAGAAGCACTGCTTTATTGTGTGTGTGTGTGGGGGGGGGGGGGGGGGGGGTGTTAAACTGGAGACCTAATAATAGTAACATTTTTGTGGAACCTGGATTAGATATACTAACAACAATGAAACAGTCAAACTCTGTTCTTGCACCTGACAGACAGTCATTTACCACAGATCAACCAAGAAGCAGCAGAAACAGGTGAGTGTTTGCTGGAAGCTATTTATCCATGTAGACCCATCACTTCAGTCCTCCGTAAGCTTCCTGCACATCTCTGTGTAGCCTGAGACAAGCATGCAATGGACTAATTCACTGTTAGACTGATGTGGAGGGTGGGTGGGTGAGAAGGGGGGTAAACATGGACATTAGCTCCAAA